GACCTTTATATTACGCTTTTAAATATTAATTTAGCGGTAAATGACATATAAAGTTTATACCTTAATCTCTCTTATAGATGTATAAATACTTACTGATAGTTTTTTATTCTTCGTGGATGAAGAAAACGATGAAATATTATCAGTTTAAGTCGAATTTTTTAGCTGAGCTATGCTGTGTTTTGACCGGAAGTGACGTGCACACCTGTGGAAGTTGTTTATAGAATTAATACCACTGTGTAGTATTTTCTACTGTATTTACGGGAAGACTTTGGTAAAGCAAGTATCTGATAGAGAAGTAAAAGCGATGTAATCATTATGTATATATATCTATCGTAGTTGTTATGAGATCTCGGGATACTGACGGATAAACCGACAGTGGAACATTAGCACGTGAAATTATTCTTATTTACCTGAATGTGTATTAGATACCTAATGATCTTCTTCAGCGGTGATTGGCGTAATCCAGGTATTTCACCCGTGTTATAAATATCACAAGATCCAATTTACTCTCTAGTACACCTAGAAGACACCACTGATAGTGAAATGGAGATCAGGCCTGGACCTAACTCTCGGCAGTCAGCCATAATAACTACTTCAGGACAGAATACTTGTGGCGTCAACCAGTCCTCTACTGGCGTACCACTACATACTGCTAACAATACCAATGGTACAGCTTCTGATGTCCCTATCAAAACGCAAATGAATATGATGGAACGCCAGTTAGCAGTGATGAATACTCAGTCACAGGCCAGTGTTTCCTAAATGGCGGAGGCTTAAGAAAAAGCCGACAGATTAGACAGTGCAAAAGTAACGTCCAGCCTTCAGATCGTAGACATCAATGCAATAGACGTCACCCGTCACATGTAACCGACTACTAGACGTCACCCGTCACATGTATCCGACTACTAGACGTCACCCGTCACATGTAACCGACTACTAGACGTCACCCGTCACATGTATCCGACTACTAGACGTCACCCGTCACATGTATCCGGCAACTAGATGTCACCAGTCACTTGTAACCGGCTACTAGACGTCACATGTAACCGGCTACTAGACGTCACCCGTCACATGTATCCGACTACTAGACGTCACCCGTCACATGTAACCGGCTACTAGACGTCAACCGTCACATGTAACCGGCTACTAGACGTCACTCGTCACATGTATCCGACTACTAGACGTCACCCGTCACATGTAACCGACTACTAGACGTCACCCGTCACATGTAACTGACTACTAGACGTCACCCGTCACATGTAACCGGCTACTAAACGTCACCAGACCACCAGTCACATGTAACCGACTACTAGACGTCACCCGTCACAAGTAACCGGCTACTAGACGTCACATATAACCGACTACTAGACGTCACCCGTCACATTTAACCGGCTAAAAGACGTCACATGTAACCGGCTACTAGACGTCACATGTAACCGACTACTAAACGTCACCAGTCACATGTATCCGACTACTATACGTCACCCGTCACATGTAACCGGCTACTAGACGTCACCCGTCACATGTAACCGGCTACTAGACGTCACAAGTCACATGTAACCAGCTACTAGACGTCACCCGTCACATGTAACAAGCTACTAGACGTCACCCGTCACATGTAACCGGCTACTAGACGTCACCCGTCACATGTATCCGACTACTATACGTCACCCGTCACATGTAACCGGCTACTAGACGTCACCCGTCACATGTAACCGGCTACTAGACGTCACCCGTCACATGTAACTTGCTACTAGTCGTCACCCGTCACATGTAACAAGCTACTAGACGTCACCCGTCACATGTAACCGGCTACTAGACATCACCCGTCACATGTAACCGACTACTAGACGTCACCAGTCACATGTAACCAGCTACTAGACATCATCCGTCACATGTATCTGACTACTAGACGTCACCCGTTACATGTATCCGGCTTCTAGACGTCACATTTAACCGACTACTAGACGTCACCCGTCACATGTAACCGGCTACTAGACGTCACCCGTCACATGTAACCGACTACTAGACGTCACCCGTCACATGTAACAAGCTACTAGACGTCACCCGTCACATGTAACCAGCTACTAGACATCATCCGTCAAATGTATCCGACTACTAGACATCACCGGTCACATGTAACCGGCTACCAGACGTCACCCGTCACATGTAACCAGCTACTAGACGTCACATGTATCCGACTACTAGACGTCACCCGTCACATGTATCCGACTACTAGACGTCACCCGTCACAAGTATCCAGCTACTAGACGTCACCCGTCACATGTATCTGTCTACTAGACATCACCCGTCACATGTTACCAGCTATCAGACGTCACCCGTCACATGTTTCTTGACGTGACCATACTAAACCTAAGCCACGACATGGTGATTGTTACCTCAGTGAGGATCCTAGCTAGTTTACGAGAATTTTTTCATATAAAGTAGATCGCTCTATTTCTTCATCCGCTGACAAACCAGATCATGGTCACAGGTACATCAACTTCAGACAACAGAAACTGATAAATCATACGAGGGACAACATCACAACACAATATAAACTAAATTGGCTACTCCAAACGACCAAAAGGACGCCGATATATTGCGTATCCAATATTAATTGGACTAGAAACCGAACATAACTACCCTGTTATCAGTGTGATAACACCCATTACATAACTACCATATTATCAGTGTGATAACACCCATTACATAACTACCATGTTATCAGTGTGATAACACCCATTACATAACTATCATGTTATCAGTGTGATAACACCCATTACATAACTACCATGTTATCAGTGTGATAACACCCATTACATAACTACCCTGTTATCAGTGTGATAACACCCATTACATAACTACCCTGTTATCAGTGTAATAACACCAATTGCATAACTACCCTGTTATCAGTGTAATAACAACTATAACATAACTACCGTGTTATCAGTGTGATAACACCCATTACATAACTACCCTGTTATCAGTGTAATAACACCAATTGCATAACTACCCTGTTATCAGTGTAATAACGCCCATTACATAACTACCCTGTTATCAGTGTAATAACACCCATTACATAACTACCCTGTTATCAGTGTAATAACACCCATTACATAACTACCTTTATCAGTGTTATAACACCCATTACATAACTACCCTGTTATCAGTGTAATAACACCCATTACATAACTACCCTGTTATCAGTGTTATAACACCCATAACATAACTACCCTGTTATCAGTGTTATAACACCCATTACATAACTACCCTGTTATCAGTGTAATAACACCCATTACATAACTACCCTGTTATCAGTGTAATAACACCCATTACATAACTACCCTGTTATCAGTGTTATAACACCCATTACATAACTACCCTGTTATCAGTGTAATAACACCCATTACATAACTACCCTGTTATCAGTGTTATAACACCCATTACATAACTACCCTGTTATCAGTGTAATAACACCCATTACATAACTACCCTGTTATCAGTGTGATAACACCCATTACATAACTACTCTGTTATCAGTGTTATAACACCCATTACAAAATTACCCTGTTATCAGTGTTATAACACCCATTACATAAGTACCCTGTTATCAGTGTAATAACACCCATTACATAACTACCCTGTTATCAGTATTATAACACCCATTACATAACTACCCTGTTATCAGTGTATTAACACCCATTATATAACTACCCTGTTATCATTTTGATAACATCCATAACATAACTACCCTGTTATCAGTGTTATATATTCAATACATACACTATGTTATGACCACACTATTAGACCTAGTGAAGCTGTGATTGGCTAAAGGTGCTCATAATGACTTTCTAGCATTATAACGTACATAAATACCCTAGATATGTGATAAACAATTTCATTTCCTACACATGTAACAAGTATGAAACACGAAATAAAACCTGTCAGATTGTCTATGTCGCATCAAGATATCGATATTATTACAAAATGAATCACTCCTACTTCCATGCCAGGTACAGATACAATACTCATTTTAGGAAATCATCATAATATCAGTTTATTTAATAAATAAATAACACATTTATAGATTTCTACATTCTTACATGAAGTACCATGTCATGATAGAACAGAAGTCTAAGATGACACTTTTAATGTGCTGAATTTTAATATTTTCTGGAGTTTTTAGAACTGTTTGTGTGTGTGCGCGTGCTTAACACCACTTAATTGAACTTTTAAAACAGTAACCTGATGGTTTTTTTTTATATATTAAACATATTAGATATTGACTACACACTGTGTGCTATATAAGCCCAGACGGAATATGAATTTTTTTGCCGCTGCGGCTGCCATCTTTTTTCCCGATTCCAAATACACAGGTGTCGGTCATTGTTCTCTGTAATTGTTTATTCTTTGGTGGTGTCTTGATTTGTGGAAATGTAATTTGATTTTCTGACAAGCACTTTTTAACTTGTTTATTTACTGGTTTTCGCGGAGACTTGTAAGGACTAAACATGGTATCCTCACCTTCCTCACTCGAATAACCTTCGGAACTACTGGGATAAACAGGACTACTTTCACCTGATGCCACCAGACATCCGGATGTATTGCGCAGGTCCGGAAGTGAAAGTGAATTCCGCCGTTCTCTAAGTCTTGACACCAAAGGACTTTTACTATAGTCGGTCCCATTATCTGCGCTATCTGTTCTGAGTATGATGGGAAGATTAACTTCCGTTTCAGACGCAATCGCGTCAGAACTTCTGAAATTCCTTCGTTTTAGCTTAGGTGTGCTTAGAGATAAAGAATGATTGGTTTCGTCATTGATATAAATAGCTTTCGGTGATGTACGTTCAAAAGATTTATCTTTATCACTTGGAGGCGTGTGGCCAGGTTTCCGTAGTCGTTCCAGACGTGGAGAATATGGCGGAGGTAGTTTGGAATTCCTGGCTTTAGTAGGCTGCCGGTCATTGTTTTGAGGAAAGTTCTTCTGATACGAGGACATGAGTTTACGTACCCGAGAATCTCCATTCTTCTTGGAGTACGTTAGAGGGGTAAAACCTGGTAACAAAAGAGTAAGATTTACAATTAATACAGGAATGATGGCCAACACATTTTCAATTTTTAAAGATATTTAGATACAACAATACATAACCATAGTATATAGTAGTACATACATGTTCCGAACTATTCCATTAGGGTTCTATGTGCATGACTTCGTAAAAATCGTTTAATTGCATCGTTTTTTCAACATGTATAAGTAGTGTTTTCAGACCTAAACCTCGGAATTCGTACAAGTGTTATAGCAGTTATACTTTTTTGTGTTCTTACGAACAACCATCAACAGTCCGATATACATGCCTTCGTAATAATCGTTTTATTGTATAGATTTTTCGACATGTATCGGTGGGTTTTGTTATACCTCGGGACTTGTTGTATAGCGGCTACAGTTTTTGTGTTTTTACGAAGAACCAACAAATCGATGGAGATGAAAGTATATATGGCTGTAAATGATAAGACATTTTCACGCGGGGATCTTCGTGAAAACTATCTAAAACAATTTATCTGTATTCATTTCCTGAACAACGTGTGTTAAGTTCTTTGCAGTCAGTAATCGACATCTATCACAGATTTCGTAATGGGAAAAGCTGCTGAATTTCGAATCAAATGCGATATGTTATCGCCTCATACCCGTAATGGCTGCTACGATCTGAAAAAGAACATTTTTTTATATGTACGGAAACTGAATTAATCATGCTTGTTATGTTGGTGGGTGCGGGTCGCTATGGAAAAACGGAAAAAATGACAGAACCCGAAAGAAATATGCTATAACTCCAAATTTCGCGAAATCAAATATTTTTCAATATTGAAAAAATTATGAGAGACACAAAAACTAATATGTCAGCATAAACATATTCCAAACTCAAACTTAATAAAATAAGGGCAAAATCTGGACAAAAGTATTAACACAATAACTCTTTAAAAAGTGCGAGGAGAATTAGACAAGGTGTAACGATACTGCTTTGACGACGACACCCGCCATGTTGGTCAATCCAAGTAAGTAATGTCATGTTCTTAAATGAGACCAGTGTATACAGCAAACGTTTCAACAGGCAAACTAACGAGCATCAGATACGTCCAGCTTCATGTCGCATCAGATGCGTCCAGCTTCATGTCGCATCAGATGCGTCCAGCTTCATGTCGCATCAGATACGTCCAGCTTCATGTCGCATCAAACACATTTCAAATACAGCCGTAACAAAAACACGTTTTAATCATATAGTTTCATTAGTAATGTAAAGAAATACGGCTTTTTTTAAGATCTTGGTCGCATAATATGTTAATCAGGATCTCATTTTACGTCTTGTTTCTCATTTCCAGTCAGACATAAGTTGGTTTATTCCCAGACAAGCTTACACAGAACTGTTTCCATATCTTGTACCCTTGTCTTAAGTCGAGATGTAAGCCCCATTCCTTCTGTTTTATAAAAGTATAATCCAATGGTATCAACCGAAAGTTTCACACAATGGACACAACACCATTTAAATAAACATTGAAGTTTAAAGAAAAGCTAGGTATGAAATAAATTGTTACATTTTAATATTAAAACTGACCAAGCTTTATCACGGAACTAAATCCGGATTAGTGGCGTTAATCCGTGATAATAAAGTGATACATTTTCATATTGAAACTGACTGTGCGTTAACTCGCAATTAAATCCGGATTAGTTAATCCGTCGTAATTCCGTTATTATGTACAAAGGGTCTGTTAGTGTAGACAGTTTTGTGAGGTATTGATATTGTGTTTGTCTTAAGTTATTAGCAGACAGAGTCTGACCGACATTTTCGATTCGACAAAGGAAGGGCTGGGAGTGACATGTAAGGTTCTCACTTGTCAAATTATACTGAAATATAGATTCGTAACATCAGGTTGATATTGTATTCCACTGTCCTGTAAATAAAGATATGCACGTCATTGAAGTTTTTTTATTAACTGTAATAAGTACCATGAGGGGATTCATTTACTTTTAATGTTTTACATTTTAACGATCTACAAAAACGGAAGGAACCACAAACAAGGATAACGACAGTGATATAGAGGATCCATTTAAATCTAATCTAATTAGTTTTGTCATTAATTTTAGATGGACCTATTTCCCTATTAAACCCTAATGTTTCCATAGTAACAATGTTCTAGTTATGGTTGAACTATAGGTAATTAACCTCAATATAGCTGGACCCAGGATCATGTTTTTACATTAAGCTTAAATAGATACATATATTAAATGTACATATTTGACCGTTCATGATGGAATTGATTAAACACATTACATCTGTATCTCATAATCTGATGATGATTCAATGTCTTAACGTATCTATAACTTTCCATTGATACCAGAATTGCATGTATATGAGAGATCTAAAAAAAAAAACTACGTTCGGTCTTAATATCGCCTATAAATAGCATATGAAGACATTTCACTTCACATTAAGCTATATAACTTCATTATCGACAACGTTATCAGTCAGGAGGTACAGCCGTTTAGATGATGAGATTTTGCCGTTGCCATGCCGATGACAATGACGTCATAATAGTCACGCGCTGGATGTCATCATACCTTAAGTCACACTTAATTCGGGTCAGTTTAGAGAATGGTCATGTAAAACTATACAAAAATCTCCTGATGATGAGAACTGGAAATGTTTGGTATTTGTTTTATTATTCATTTTTAGAGTAAAAACCGGGTACAATATATTTAAACATATGGAATGGACTGTAAATATCTATATTTATCTGGTGTCTGTTTTTTAGCAATATTAAGTGAAGTCCATTATTGTTTTATAATGACTGCGAATCGCTGACGTTGAATTACAAAATCAAAAGTGGTATATAAAATGTGGGGTTCACTGGTGACAACTTCAATCTGTTTCTTCGCGTCTCAGCGAGAGCAACACGCTTCATACTTAAAAGACACAGTGTGTTCTAATACAGTCTATGATGTAATGTCAGATCGCTGAAAACACTCTGACATTAACCCTTTTTAAGACCGTTCGCAGCAAATTAGGTAAGACCAAATTTGCACGAATCGTTGTCCATTTTCGAGTTTTCCAGTCTTGTTTGACTTACAATGTAACTTATTCTAATGGACAGAAGATTATAATGTTGATTTAATAACAAAAACTGGTTATTATACAGGACAATGAGACCTTAATCACAAAGTAGAAAATATTTGTTTTTATATAACGCGTACATAATTGATAGTCATATATTTTATGTATTTTGTATCATATCGATTATATATTTTAAGTGTAAAAAAAAAAAATAGAATGTAACCTAAGGAGGATTTCTGCAACACACGTGTACGTCATAGAAATATCTGCTTTACTCCTAAAAAACTGAGAACAACTCTAAATAGTCCTACTAGTCATTAGGACAGCTTCAACAAGTCCAACGGACAACTCCAAATAGTACAAGGACAACTCAACACATTCAGAGGACAACTCCAAAGAGTCAGAGGACAACTCCAAATAGTAAAAAAAGGACAATTCCAAATAGTAAAAAAAGACAACAACTACAAATAGCCCAAAGGACAACGCCAACTAGTCCAAAGGACAACTCCAAAAAGTTCAAAGGACAAATCCAAAAAGTTTAAAGGACAAATCCAAAAAGTTTAAAGGACAACTCCAAATAGTCAAAGGACAACTCCACACATTCAACACATTCAGAGGACAAATCCAGACAGTCCAAGGACAACTCCAAAGAGTCAGAGGACAATATCAGACTGTCCGAGTACAACTTCCGACAGTCCAAGGATAACTCCAGACAGTCAGAGGACAACTCCAAAGAGTCAGAGGACAATATCAGACTGTCCGAGTACAACTCCAAACAGCCCAAGGATAACTCCAGACAGTCAGAGGACAACTCCAAAGAGTCAGAGGACAATTCCAAACAGTCAGAGGACAACTCCAAACAGTCAGAGGACAACTCCAAACAGTCAGAGGACAACTCCAAACAGTCAGAGGACAACTCCAAACAGTCAGAGGACAACTCCAAACAGCCCAAGGATAACTCCAAACAGTCAGAGGACAACTCCAAAGAGTCAGAGGACAATTCCAAACAGTCAGAGGACAACTCCAAAGAGTCAGAGGACAATTCCAAACAGTCAGAGGACAACTCCAAACAGTCAGAGGACAACTCCAAACAGTCAGAGGACAACTCCAAATAGTAAAAAAAGGACAATTCCAAATAGTAAAAAAAGACAACAACTACAAATAGCCCAAAGGACAACGCCAACTAGTCCAAAGGACAACTCCAAAAAGTTCAAAGGACAAATCCAAAAAGTTTAAAGGACAAATCCAAAAAGTTTAAAGGACAACTCCAAATAGTCAAAGGACAACTCCACACATTCAACACATTCAGAGGACAAATCCAGACAGTCCAAGGACAACTCCAAAGAGTCAGAGGACAATATCAGACTGTCCGAGTACAACTTCCGACAGTCCAAGGATAACTCCAGACAGTCAGAGGACAACTCCAAAGAGTCAGAGGACAATATCAGACTGTCCGAGTACAACTCCAAACAGCCCAAGGATAACTCCAGACAGTCAGAGGACAACTCCAAACAGTCAGAGGACAACTCCAAAGAGTCAGAGGACAATTCCAAACAGTCAGAGGACAACTCCAAACAGTCAGAGGACAACTCCAAACAGTCAGAGGACAACTCCAAACAGTCAGAGGACAACTCCAAACAGTCAGAGGACAACTCCAAACAGCCCAAGGATAACTCCAAACAGTCAGAGGACAACTCCAAAGAGTCAGAGGACAATTCCAAACAGTCAGAGGACAACTCCAAACAGTCAGAGGACAACTCCAAAGAGTCAGAGGACAACTCCAAAGAGTCAGAGGACAACTCCAAACAGTCAGAGGACAACTCCAAAGAGTCAGAGGACAATTCCAAACAGTCAGAGGACAACTCCAAACAGTCAGAGGACAACTCCAAACAGTCAGAGGACAACTCCAAACAGTCAGAGGACAACTCCAAACAGTCAGAGGACAACTCCAAACAGTCAGAGGACAACTCCAAACAGTCAGAGGACAACTCCAAACAGTCAGAGGACAACTCCAGACAGTCAGAGGACAACTCCAAACAGTCAGAGGACAACTCCAAAGAGTCAGAGGACAATTCCAAACAGTCAGAGGACAATTCCAAACAGTCAGAGGACAACTCCAAAGAGTCAGAGGACAACTCCAAAGAGTCAGAGGACAACTCCAAACAGTCAGAGGACAACTCCAAAGAGTCAGAGGACAATTCCAAACAGTCAGAGGACAACTCCAAACAGTCAGAGGACAACTCCAAACAGTCAGAGGACAACTCCAAACAGTCAGAGGACAACTCCAAACAGTCAGAGGACAACTCCAAACAGTCAGAGGACAACTCCAGACAGTCAGAGGACAACTCCAAACAGTCAGAGGACAACTCCAAAGAGTCAGAGGACAATTCCAAACAGTCAGAGGACAACTCCAAAGAGTCAGAGGACAATTCCAAACAGTCAGAGGACAACTCCAAACAGTCAGAGGACAACTCCAAACAGTCAGAGGACAACTCCAAACAGTCAGAGGACAACTCCAAAGAGTCAGAGGACAACTCCAAACAGTCAGAGGACAACTCCAAACAGTCAGAGGACAACTCCAAAGAGTCAGAGGACAACTCCAAACAGTCAGAGGACAACTCCAAAGAGTCAGAGGACAACTCCAAACAGCCCAAGGATAACTCCAAACAGTCAGAGGACAACAGAGAAAACCGGTATAAAACCTTTATAACGTCTGACGTACAAATAAAACGTTTTCTGCAATATTTATCAATAAGCTGACCTTGTGACATAAATATTTTTCATAAAGCAAATAAATTCAATGTAATGATTTGAAAGCATCAAACATTACAATACGTTTTCACTTTAACAAATCTGGAACCCAGTCAGATACGATACACGACCTATAAAAGAAGTAGGGCTTAAATTGAGGACAGCTAGGAGTCAACTGAAGAAAAACACATTCGTAAAAAATCATATTGTAACTTTTGCAAACCCCCGAAATACTTATATTTCTACCAAATTGGATGATTTTAAAAGAATATTGATTACGTGTATATATTCTGAAGTGTGCCAAGGGATAACAGCGTGGTATACAGGTTACGGGAAACTTCGTGACTAAAGCTGTAAGCTGTACCTTACTTACCATTGGTATCATATATATCTAGTAGCGCGATGCCCCCAGGATGATCCATAATCCTTTTTATGATAGGTAAACTTCCGGTTTTTACAGCGTACATTAGGGCAGAATTTCCATCAAAATCAAAAATATCAATCCGGCTATCCGGATCATTTATTAGACAATCCACAACGTCACTTTTCCCGGAAATGCACGCATGCATTATCGCAGTCCTTCCTAAGGAATCTTGCATATTCACATCCGGCTCACGTTCGAGAATTTCGTTTATGATGTTAACGATATCACAATCGGGGATTTCCAAATAGCAAACCTTCATTAAAACTGTTAACAAGTCATGACCAACATCTCGAGAGTTCACGTGCACATTTTCGTTCCGAATAAGATTTAAAATCTTTTCTACGTTGTTCTGTTGAATGGCTTTTTCTAGATTTCTATGAAGCACTTCCGGTTTGGTTGTCTTCGACATGTTAACATACGGGTTACTGCAATTCACATCTGAAATTCGAAAGACAATAACATGAGACAATATATATAATAATGTGTTTAAATATATATGAAACCCAAGACAAAACCTCAGCTATAGTATGATGTATAATATAACTAGTTAAGGTCTCGTCCTTTCGGAACACACGGGCTTATTCAATTTATTTGACATTATTTTGTTTTACATGTTTGGTGACATCGATGAAGCCGAAGACGATTTCCCTTGCGGAACACCTGGTTTTATTATCCTTTTTCAGGAGTCTCTATGTAAATGTTTATTTTGTTCAAATTTAGTCGAGTTGAGAATTTTTGTTGATTCAGTATTTTGCTTGTTGTTTGTTCAGTGATGCTAGGTATCTACAGAGTAAAACACTATCAATCAGCTAGAAAACATCACAAATATTGTACCCAAACAGTCAATACATTCTTAATATTCTTCTAGGACTTGACAGCGATTATAGAAATGTATATAGATAAAAGAATTACTGCATTTTCTGGTAATAAGTATTTCATCGATAGAGATTAAATAAGTTGAAGTTTTTATGGAATATTTAAGAAGGTATCTTTGAATTATTTAGACGATATGTGTCTGTAATATAGAGGAGTTTAAAATAACAAGGTCTTATATTGAAGTGGTTCAAACATAACGTCTCCTAACACAACGTTATCAATACGTGGTATAATTTCTATGGACCGTTTTATATCTGTGTGGGAGTTCGTTAATTATTATTCAAAAATTGATTGATCTGTTTATATCGATAGTTATGTAAACACAAATGAATAATTATAATAGATTAAATCGATGTTTTTTAAAGGACAATACCGTGATCAGTCTCCTGGAGAGATCAACTCTGTAGCGTCATTGACAATAACAGTCGTTTGTTTAGATAATCTCTGTTCTATAGAGATTCTATTCTACTGAAGTTCAATAGATTATCATGACAGAATCAGTTATTGTAGGTAGAACGATAATTGTCTGTCGTTGTAACAATGTGATGGGGAGGTAATTGTATCAGCCTTATCATTGTTTGACCGGCGATCAACTGATGCGTTTGGGACTGTCTATTTTTAAACGTCTTTGACAAGTGCTACAAGGAAGAAAACAGCTGTATGACTAAGTTCAATTCATTATCTGACCACTTTTCTACTACAAATAGCCTTATCTCACGTTTAACAACTTCATTCGTCTTTTCATATAAATGTATGTATCACATTTGTCTTGCATTCAATTTTTTTTTAAATATGCGTATTACCAACAAAAGTAACAGCAGCCACGTTAAAATCATAATTCAAACTAGAAATTAGTGGAAAGAGAGCAAAATATGCCCAAAAGAAATATTTATAGAAAAAACCTTGAAAAGGTACAGGTTGAAGAAGATCCGGAAGTTTAAGCGTCTTCTGCTTCATCGACGACACCCGCCATGTAAACTAAACCAAGAAACGTTATTTCCCAAGTGAGAAGTGATGTTAAGAACGAAGTTCCAACCAGATACGTTCACCGATCTGTAAGTGGTCTTACTGTCGATCACACAACGTCATGTAATATTTCATAACAAGATCATGATGGCGACAGTAAAACAATATTTTCATTAACCTGTATCTATCATACCAATTCATATTATTTCTTGTCATAAAACAAATTCATAAAGGAACATATTTACAGATAATACTATATAAAGTAACAAAGGAATATATACATATATATTCTAATGTCAATTTACCAATATTATGTTTTACATGCATTTCATAAAAATCAACACTTTATATACAGTTTAATAATCTTTAAGTTGTTATTTTTCAATAATATACATGCACATTACTTAATGATGTATATTTCATTATAAAATTCTCTCTTTTCTTTTAATCAGTTCATTTTCTATATATAAATTAAATATTCTCAAAGTTAAATATGAAATTCATTTGGAACAAACGAATTTCTTTAAAAAGTACAATTTATTCAATACAGATTTTTTATACACTAAATGTCCATTTTGGTTTGTCAATTAATCTTGTTACATAATTATAACATTCACAAGTCAACAAAGATATATTTAACCTTTCATGTCAGGAAGAGTTAAAGCAATTAAATTGTAAAGTGTCATAGACACGGAAGGGTCAATTGTGATTGTATCGGCACTAAGGATTTACACTAGTATTTTATATTAGCCCTTGGTCAACACCCTTTGTGTGGTGAGTGGCCATTACGTAATAGGTTATGGCTAGGAGCCCACATGTCAGTGATTTAGATATTTTTGGAATTATACCGACGCTTACCATTGCGCATGCCTGTGTCCGGAGAACAGCTTGATCTCCATAAAATCTGAGTTTTCGTATCACTTTTTGACGAGACTCAATAAAGGAAAGATCAACGTTAACAGCTGTCTCCATTACATATTTTACAGAACACACAAAAAAAAGCTGGATGAAATATATACAGTCTTCATTTTAACCTTAAAAGTTACGCTCTGGGCGGTTAATCTGATCCAACTTACTATTTAGACCAACTCGCTATTGAGACATCTTTTGTCCAGTCTCCAAAGTGGATTTAATAGCGAGGTTTCACTGTATAATAATTATGGGGAATACATAGCCGGGAATACCATAGCAATACGCGTACATTAGAAGTGTTTAGGAAAACAGATATTGTTTGAATAATTGTAATAAAAGTATTTTTTCTTGTTTTCAGTCTTTATCAATTTATTCCATAATGTTAAGTTTTTACCAGAAATATTGATTAAACTTTGATATTATACAGTCAGGTAATGATCGAGCAAGTAGTGAAATCCATCACCGATCAGACAACACGATGTTGACAATTCATCATCAATATGATAACACGATGTTGACAATTCATCATCAATATGGTAACACGATGTCGACAATTCATCACAAATCAGATGACACGATGTCGACAGGTCATCACAAATCAGATGACACGATGTCGACAAGTCATCACAAATCAGATGACACGATGTCGACAATTCATCACAAATCAGATGACACGATGTCGACAATTCACAACCGATCAGATGACACGATGTTAACAATTCACAACAAATAAGATAACACGATGTCGACAAATCATCACATATCAGATGACACGATGTCGACAAGTCATCACAAATCAGATGACAAGATGTCGACAATTCACAACAAATAAGATAACACGATGTCGACAAATCATCACATATCAGATGACACGATGTCGACAAGTCATCACAAATCAGATGACAAGATGTCGACAAGTCATCACAAATCAGATGACAAGGTGTCGACAATTCACAACAAATAAGATAACACGATGTCGACAAATCATCACATATCAGATGACAAGATGTCGACAATTCACAACCGATCAGATGACACGATGAAGACTACCTACCATTAAACTGTACACGTATTTTTTTACTGTAGATGAACTCTTATGTATGAGATTGTCTGATAGTCATTTCTTACTAAACCTTTAAATTCTAAGTGGATTTTGATAGAAAAATAATATTACAATCAGCATACTGACGATATATGTTAGGTAAATATAATCAGTGATATGATTAGGTTCATTAATCATTTATCACGTGATAACAGTCAATATAACGATAAATAATGTTCCTGTATTCCCGAGTAGATTGCCTCACCCTGTCCAATCTTTATTTCAGTGACCTGATCTAGTACATAGGTAAAACCTATATATTTATAATGATAGTCCTTATAATGAAAAATATAAATAAATCATGTTTCTAATTATTTTACTTCTGTCAGTTTATCCGGGAGCGTCAATACATTTCCGGGCTGTAGGGGAGTTTATATTTTATCTGTAGGATCGCTGTGGAAGTTGATGAGTTGCTCGCTTTAATTTTTAATACCTCGTATACTATACATCTCTAAAACTGGTTCGGTGTTGTAGGTTAACTGGTCGTAATCAGAATCGTCAGGGGAATGCACTGTAGAAACACGGGAGGTATTGCTTCCTATTTATCTCTGCACTTTTTGCAGATAGCGTGTAAGAATTGTACAGGTTGTCTCCATTTTATGATTGTAGGAGGCGACTAAACTTGGCATCTTTATTTAGTGAAGATATATTAACACTAATATCCCTCCTGATATTTGCTCTTGATTTTTGTTACAAATTAATCTTTAAGGTATTTGACAAAGTAACTGAAGGACACGGCCAGTCTCTCTTAGTATTACTGATATAAATTAATCCTTGATCTATATGAAAAAGTAACTGAATGACATGACAAATGAGAAAACGGTAAACGACAACGGAACTAACAGACAAACTACGCGAATCAACAAGGACATTAAAACACAATTACTGGGAGGGAAACCATCTCCTTAATGAACAGCATTTCTAAATCTCTCTCTATATACAAAAGTATGTGAAAATCAAGTTATGTCAAATTCGAAACTTAAAGAACTTTTAATGAAAATAAAATTTGCTTTAATTTCTTATACTTTTTTTCTAGTATTTACATATTTGTTAATATGTTTGTTATATATCTACCCTGTTATCAGTGTTATCAACATCTGGTATATAACTACCCTGTTATCAGTGTTATAACATCCGGTATATAACTACCCTGTTATCAGTGTTATAACATCTGGTATATAACTACCCTGTTATCAGTGTTATCAACATCTGGTATATAACTACCCTGTTATCAGTGTTATCAACATCTGGTATATAACTACCCTGTTATCAGTGTTATAACATCTGGTATATATCTACCCTGTTATCAGTGTTATCAACATCTGGTATATAACTACCCTGTTATCAGTGTTATAACATCTGGTATATAACTACCCTGTTATCAGTGTTATAACATCTGGTATATAACTACCCTGTTATCACTGTTATAACATCTGGTATATAACTACCCTGTTATCAGTGTTATCAACATCTGGTATATAACTACCCTGTTATCAGTGTTATCAACATCTGGTATATAACTACCCTGTTATCAGTGTTATCAACATATGGTA